TGATCCTACAAGCCTTTTTTCCAAATACCTTAAAAAATAATTAAAAAATAACATTCAAGTTAATGATAGCTTTCATTTCACTACTGAAGAACTTCTGAAGAACTGATTAATGGAGGAAAGACTTGAATTTACACAGTTTGGCTCTTTAGTTACTTTTTTAAATGTGTGTGGTACTCTTCAGGCCTATTTGATTTTTCAAAAGAATGACTATTCTCCAGACTGTTGCAGCAATAGATTGTTGAAAATTTGCTTTTAAAAGCTATCTGGAGGTGCAGAAAACAGGAGAACTTTCTCGTCTGGGCAAAGTACCTCTGTTAATAGGAGTGTTTCCTACTCTTCGGGGGTTTGGCATCGTGCAGTACAGTTGGCAGTGTTTTGCCAGCGGTGTGCTGTGTAGGATTCATTGCAGCTTTGCAAATGCCTTATTAAGAATCAAAATTGGGCTGGCAGAGGGTGCATCCTTAGTGCTTTTAGTAGCACATATGCAATAGCTTATTTTAAGATAGTATTAATTACTTGGCAATAGTGTTTTATATATAGAAATGTATATGTAAATGAAAGAAACAAATAGGACCACTCAGCCCTGACAGTGAAATGTTGCCAAAACTTCCTTTCAATAACCAGCTAAATTTTTAGGGAAAATCACAAGAGGGCAGTGTTTTATAGTTTCATATTTTATACAAAAATCGAACTTTTGGCATTCTTTTATCTTAAATAATAACGGCCTTATAAAGCAATCAGTTTGACTAAACTGTCAGCTATTACAATAAATCTAGAGCCTGTTTTAAATAAGTTAAATTACCAGGGTTCTTACTGTGATGAACATCAGTTTTTAAAGGAATCCTTACAAATATGTTGTTCTGTTTTTAATCCTTACAGTGAACAAGAGGTGTTCACTCATCTTCTTCCATAACCAAAACATTTTATTTTTTTTCCACTTTTTAACATCTAGGTGAAAGCTTGGAGGACTACGTTTGTTCTTAAATAAAAGATACCTATGGATCTTGTAGGACTTCACAAATATTTTCTAATTGTGTTTTGACAGTCACTATTTATGAATAGCCATACAAAAACAGGCATCTGATCTGTAATCTGTAGTATATTAGTATGCTTCCAGATAGTAACAAGAATACTGTCTAAATGAATGTGTTCATTACTCTGCTCTAATTTTGGCAGAGAGAATATAGGTAAAGTACATCTCAGCAGGAGTGTGTATGTCTGACATGATTATTGTTATGCGTGTGGTTGTAGCAACACTTACATACAAGTTCTTAATGGTGAGGGGTGGGGGCAAACATTCTGTGCATGTTTTGAGAAAAACTCTCTTTAAGACTATTTTACAATCGTCTTTCCACTGAGTGGTTCAGTTCTGTAAGTAAGGGCAGTTGTTGCTAAATTGATGCAGAAAAGTTAACAAATGCAAATACCTCCCACTTTCTAAAGTGCCTTACTGACTGTCCTTCATCAGAACAAAATTTCAATTCTGAAATGGGTCATGTCTTCACCTAGAGAAAAAAGGGTAGATAAATCAATTTTTGCTGAATAGCTGGCTGACGAGACATATCTTTAAAACCAACATATTCTTGTTCCTGATTCAGCTCTTTCCTAGTGTAAAATTGCCACGGAAATTTGTCATTTGTGTTTTTGGAGGAAGAGTAAGACCAGATTATTGCCTGTTTAACTTTATTCACTCTGTGTGTGTATGAAACGAACTTCGCAAAAAGATGTAGCCCTGGGTGGAGTGGGACAGAGAAATGAAAACTTAATCCAAGCTACATGCTGTGTTTGGGATTTTTATTATGGCTCATGAAAGTAGTGAACTTTTTGATTACACTCTCAGAAAATTCATTAGGATCGCTTATATGCACTATTTGGTGAGTGTAAATTAAGTATGTGTAAGTGATCTGGACATTGCAAAATAGGCAAGATTACTGTTGAAAACTAAAACAATAAAAAGAGGTATAAAGAATTAGAAAGCTGTGTGATCTCTAGCTCTTTTTCACATAACTTTAATGAGTAGATGATAGAATGGATGCTTCTTTCTAAATGGAATTGTATTTAAGTATCTTATTTTACATATTAATATATTTCAAGCAGTCATTTTAATAAATAAAAACACAGTAGATGTTAGTTTTAAAGCCCATCTAAGTATACAAAGAAGATTGTACTATGTACAAAAGGTTTTGGTTTTTTTTTAATCTCTAGGTTCAGTTGACACTTAGTGATGTAGAGGACAGTAGCCACTTTTCAAATCAGCAGAACTGTAAGACACAAATGAACCATACAGTATGTGCAATTTATCTGCATTCCTGTAAAATAACAGTAGGACTTCCAGTTTATTTTATACCTTTGTTTTGTTCTTGTTTATTTATTGGTTTTTAAATAAATAATGGTTTTTCAGGTACATAAGAGAAAAATGGTGGGTTTGTTTTTATGGAGGGGTGAGTATTTTTTTTAGCAACGCTTTACTTTGGCTTATATACTGTACTGGCTTGTGAAACTTAGAATCCCAACATATTCTGACAATGTATGTGCTGATATTTTAACACTTTTTTTTCTTCAGGAAGGTTTTTTTTTTTCTTAACCCCACCCGCCAAAGTGCACTTTGTGGCTTTTCTTAAGAAGGATTAATAGGGAAAGTGCATTTACTAACATCTCATGCATTTGTGCGAGTGATCAGAATGCATGAAATTGAAATTGAGACTTCCACTGACAGTTCAAAGCAGTGATGTTCATGTACTAACTTGCCAGTGTGAGTGTGTGTTGCCAATCTCATCAGTGCTTGCCTTAATCCTCATACAGTAAAGAACTAATTTCCTCTAGTGATTAACTTTATTTCAGAGGTCTGGTCTCAGCATATCTATTTGCCAGTCAAGAAGTGCATTACTACTGGGCTTACTTGCATTCCATGAGTACATAGTTTTTTCAAAGTTTTCTTCCCTTCCTGCTCAGCTGTTTATTGTCAACCCCCATTCATGGAACATTAAATCTTAAAGACAGAATAAAAGATTAAGATATACTTGTTCTGATTTTCTGTAAGATTGCATACATAGGGTGCTATAGAAAGATGCCTGTTTAAAAAATAGATGTCTGTTTGACCTCTGTCTACTGACTCTTAAGCTTTCTTTAAATTTGAAAACCATATAAAGTTTCTAGGAACTTAGCTTAATACCAGCAACACAGGAGGGTTAGATCTTGTTACTGACAACTGCTGGAGTAGGAACTTCATCTTTTCTATGTATAGACAGTGGTTTACATGTTGTAAAGACAATTCTGCAATGCTTTCCCTCCAGTGCATAATTGTTTATCATTTATTTTATTTTTTTATGTATCATTTATTTTACGAAAATACTTGATGGTTCTCTGATAGGCATTTGCAGTTGAGGGTGGTGGTGTTAATTGTATTTGTGTGATACACTTCAATCACAGCAGCAAGGGTGACCTAAAACTTTCTTGTTACCATATTGGATATAAGCCACCATGAGTGACATTGGCAAATACCAAGTTTTCTGTAGTTTTAAACTAAGGAGATATTGCATAAATTACATCAGGCTATAATAAATTTGTATGAAGCCAAATGTTAAGAACTCTCAGAAGTATTTTTGAATTTTTGAGTTGTGCCAGTTGTCATGCCAGTTAAATGACTACATAAAATTTAAATCTTTGATACCAGTGTCGTCGTGTTAATTTTCCACAAAACATAGCAAAAAAACTTTCCAGATGTCACTTAGTTCTGTAAAAGTGTATCTACTGAAAAGTACTGTCAATGAAGTTGTCTTTTTCTTTTCCAGATCCAAGTTGTGTGTGTGTGTGCGCACATACACATATATATACACACACATACATGTTTGTGTGTATATATATAAGATCCATTAAATAGGGAGAAGAGCATATGAAATAGTTTTTATTTTGGGGTTATAAGACATTTTTGATTTATTCTCCTATTCCCTTAAAAACACTAAACCAATTTGAATGCCTTCAGCTGATAATGCAGAGATGCAGCACCTTTGAAGTAAGCAGAGCAGAAATTTTTCCTGGGATGCATTAAGGGCTGTGTGCCTGTAGATCTTCCTTGGGCAGACACGGGCCAAATTTGCAACCCTTCCAAAGGCTTAAGAATTTTCAGAGAAACCTAAAAACAATTAGGCCCCCCAAAAGTGAAGTTGCTGTTTGTGTGATCTAGCTAAAACGTTGAGGAACTTACCAACTCCATGAAGAGCCAGTACTTTACCCCATTCAGAAAAGACATCTCTTGATTGAGACAGACAAATTAGGTCATGCACAACTTTGTAACAACAGGCTCTAAACACTGTTCTGCACAGAAGTAGTGGGTTTTTAATACATGTAGCAGGTAGTAAGAGAATAGTGCGATGGTTGGCATACAGCTCTAGTCCAAGTGCTAGCCCCTCTCACAAGAGGATCCTTGCATTGGGAGTTGCAGGTGTAGGTCTGTCTTCCCTCTGGGGTGACTTTCCTAGAGGACAGTGCAGAGAAGTGCTGGAACTTCAGAGGAGCATCACAATGATACAGATCAGCAAGAGGCAAATTAAAATCAGGCAGAAATTCACAAAGAGCTCTTGGAGCCTTTGGCGTGCTTGTGGGTTGACCTCAATAGTTGAGGCTCTCCTCAGAGCGGAGCGGGTTATGTATTGGACCTTCTCCATGGCAACAAGAAAGCAGAGGGCACAAACCAGAGGTTTTAGGAGTGCAGGAAAGAAGAGAAGTTGTCAGGAACAGTGCAAAGTGCCTATTATCTTCTCTTTTTGTTTTAGACAGCCTTTGTGGAGCTGGGAAAGCAGGAAAGTGAAGAGTTAGAAATGCAGAAGTGTATTCTTGAGTGCAAATGGAGATTATTTTAAAGTTCTAAAAAGCCTGAAGAAAATAGGTTGCCTTTACAGTACTTTTACTTTAAAACAGGAGTTTTAAAATTTTTTCAGGTTTAGCTTTGTGCTATATTGTGCTTCTCTTCCTGAAGGCTGCTCCTGAGCACCTGCTTCTTAGCAGTGGTGGGGAATTGTAAAATGAAAATTATGGGTATGTGGTATTTACTCAGATCATTGCCTTAGATCCTCACCTCTCCAAGCTTCACAGTCTGTAAAAAGGCCATGACTCATTTCCATCCCACCCCCCAACCCCCCAAGCTTTATGTGTTCAAGCACATGCGAAAGCCTGATGGTACAGCTACAGTCACACACCTTTCAGCCAGGAGATCTGGATATTACTGCTGGCTGTTAGTGCTCCAGGCAGATAATCTGATTTACCAGTGCCTGCCTTTGGAAGGGAGGAAAAGAAATCTTATTGAAGGATTTCCATTCCAAGTAAAAAATCCTTATGGTGTGTAATTAAAAGCAAATGAATCACTGCTATAGTGAATTTTAGTAGTATGTTTTTCAACAGACAAAACAAGAGTAAGCAATAATTTTTTTTTAATACATGTAGGACCACATGTTACAAAATTTATGTGCAAAGGCAGAGGACTGCTGTGAGGAACAAAATCAAGCATGTATATAGCTTCGTCCCTTAAGTGAGTGTTTTATTTCAAGTCTATTTTTCCCCTTTGTAATGGCAGATGGGAGCACAGGGTGTCAGTTGTCTTAAAACTCCCCAAAAGTAGTTGCAGCGTAAAAACGCTCCTTTACAAACCTTCTATGGCAAGAAGCTGGCTTTGATATATGCTTGCTTAGCTCATAGCAGGCTGAATTCGATAGGTGCTATCGCAGTGTGAAAAATTGGTTTTCAAGATGATGATGATGATATATACATCTCTCAAACTTTGGTCTTAGAGCTGTACTTTCCCCTAAATGTTTTATGAATTGATATCATGATCATATCCTTGATAGAAGGCCGCCTCTTTTTTGTGGGGAGAGGGAAGGGGCAATAAATGAAATTCCTCTCTACTCATATAAGTGACATAAAGGAAAACATTGCTTCAATATCTGCTGTCGAAATTACATGATGATCCTGACTGAATCAGACATAGTGTTGTTCATGAATTTTTCTTTAGATGTGGCTAAAATAGAAAAACCTTAAAATGAAACAGAAGTGTCTTTCAGACTCTTCTTTTTTAGTCCTTCCATGTGGGACTGTAGAGTCAAATGGTGCTGTATTAGCAGCTTTCAGTTCAGTGGCAGTGTTGGTATTTAAAAAGAAACTTTTAAAAGAAACCAGATTACACTTGTATATTTTAATACCTTTAGAGCATTCCATGTGACGACACCTTCTCCTAAAACTGAACTTCAGATTTTGTTATGATGTTTTGAGCTATAGTTGATCTTAACTTTATTGCAAACAAAACACACACCAGGAACTTACTTTCTTAGTGACTGTAATTTTTCAGCTTTGTTTGACTTCACGCTGTACCTGTTTTTTGTCTATTTAGGCAGTTAAAGTGCCTGCCAAGTATATTCTGCTTAGCTCTTTGCTGGTCACTGTCTGCCCTAAGTGCAGTACAGGCAAGACATGCACAGGAATTCTCAAGTGACTTGGCTGAAGACACATTCGTTCTCCCAGCCCAGTATGTACTGGGGTGCATTAGGCTGTTTGTCCTCTTCTAGACAAGGCATGGTAGGTGAACCACTAATGGATTTACACTGCTACAGAAAAGTTTGTGTAACGAGTTTGTGTGATGGACACTGCACAGAGAACAGTATTTCCTGTGGATGACTTCATCACAACTTGTTGTGTCATTTTTTAATGTAGGAAGTGTACAACCTGTGGTCTTTGGGCTGTGAGTTACCTGCTGCAGCAACATACCCAGCTTTTTCCAGGCTGCTGTATTTCATGGGGCCCTCAGAAGGACTTGAACAGCATGAGTTTTTACCAGGGTATATACACAAGAAGTCCACTTCTGTGTACAGCAATAGGTTTACTGTACACATGCTAGCACCTGCACTGCTGTGTTGCTGCATATGTTTCACTTGCATGACTTGGGGCAAGGACCTGGGGCTTTGAAGTGCTTCTGTAAAAGGCAATATTAACTGGTTGGGTATCACAGATGCAAGGCCACCACAGGTGAGGACATATGGTGAAATCTCTCAGGGAGGGGAAAAAAAATTATTCTTCTCTTTGGAATGACTGAGGGAGCAGGCAGTAGGTCAGATGGCTCAGCTGAGCTGTCACACATCAGCTGTTTGAGAACATACATTACCAGACACGTGATAAGAAAGGATCTTAAAAAAAGGAAGGTAGTGTAAGTTAAAATGTGTACCTTTTATGGCTAGAAAACAGTGTAGAGAAGGGATGAGGAAAGGTCAAAATAGAGTAACTTGGTCATCTTGCTTTAAAAGCTCATACGGAATTGGAAATTTTTAAAACACATACATGTTGTTTTACCTACTAAGCCTGTCTGTGGGACAAGTTTTTTTGTAAGCAAAGGAAGCAAATTCTGTGTCTGTATTTCAACAAGTTTGTCTTTACAAGTGCATGACTTCAACTAATAAACACATACCTTGCTTGTTAATCCTCCATGGTGCTGTCACCCACCTAAAGTGTACATAGAGAAAAACAGATTCAGTAACACAGCTGCATATGGGTGGCTATCAAGGTCAAAGTGGACAGCCTGAAATATAATTACGCTGAAATGAAGGCCGATCGTTGCCACGAATTGGAGCTGTTCTCTGCTGTTTAGTCCCCAGTCTGTGTTTCAGGTCAATATTAAGAAGTGTTATTGCATGTACACACCACTTCTTGAAAGGAAAGTGCAGCAAAAGGGCAAACTGTATTTGACTTTTTAAAGTCAGTGTTACTTGTGTGACAAGACTGAGTATGGCACAAGAGAAACTGTTGGCTGCATTGCTATGCAGTTGTGTTTAATCCAGTGCTGTTAATGGATGTGAAAGGCTCGTCTTATGCACGGCGCAAATCTGCAGGAATAGGTCATGTGGCTGACCCCATATTCACAGAATCACATATGTTACTGTGTAGGGGATCCCCTACACCTGGTGCCCTAGAATGAGTCACCGATCACAATTATTGCTTCCTTCTTCACTGACATGTGACTGTGTCCCTGATTTGTATTTGGTTATTTTTATCTCTGTTCCTGGGTGTCCTTCACAATGAGAGGAGGTATGTGACCAAAGTGAAAACTGTGGGCCACACTCGTTCCTGGTGCAACTGCACTGACTCCATTGAAGTCACATGGGATAAATTTGGCTCCTTTGAAAATGCCACAGCAATTTTAGACGCAGTCTGTTTCCTATCATATGTTTACTAAATGCAGCAGTGATATCAGTGGAATAGAAGAGGTTTGACATATTTGATTTGTTGCTGTCCCATACGACCAAGTGAAGCCTTAAAAAGGCATTGTTAAAATGTAATGTTGCATAAAAGTCTATTGCACAGATTTTTACAATGAGATGTCTCCAAAACCCAGGAATTCAGTTTCATCAAATGTCTTAATAACCATAACCATAGGGATGCAAAAAGTACCATCAAGTTATGTGATCCTTGGTCTAGTATGTGTTTAGCAATGTTACCTGGCCTAAGAAATTCCTGTAGCTGTTTGTGTGATACTCCTAGGCATTCTCTGCATGTTCAGAGGAAGTAAGTTTAAAGATTTGTGTATATAGTGCCAAAGCAAAGAACCCTGCATGCTTCACTAAATGCTGTGAGTTGAATTAAACCTGGAGCCCTTTGTCACGCTTGTCTGTGGATTGAGTGGCGCCCAGAGGAGAAGACATTGCAGAGTTCTAAGGCTCTGCCTGTGCACAGCAGCTGCAGTTGATGTGTAGGCATGTTTGTCATCATCACTGGCTGTCCTGTGTTAATGTGTATCTCTTATTCCAAGTTGCATTGCTGTGGTTTGGACCCTGCTGTAAAATACCTCCTCACAGACAGTGTGGAGTCACTGCAGTTGAGACCTCCAAGTCTGAAAAATCTCCTTGTTTGTGTGAGAAAGATGAGGTGTGAGAAGGGGGTGAAGAAGGAAGCAGTCTGAATTAACTCTAGACACCTCTAGAGGGTCTCACTACTGTCAATTTAGTTCAGTACTAAAAGTTAACAATGATAAAACAGAATTTTCTTGCAGGTTTTTAAGTACATAAAGGTATGTCCTAATTTTAGATTTTTGTTCTTCTTAGGAAAAAAATAAATAGTATGGACGTGACTTGCTAGGATTTACCCCAGTAGCTGGATTTTGTATTTACCTATGCTAGGGATGCAGAATTCTGCTGCATGTTCCGATTTTAGGCTGAGAATTGCACTAGGCTGTTGTGTTAGTGAAGAAGGGTATTAAGGGTATTAGCCAATTCCACAGCTTGACTGCAGAAAAAGGAAAGCTGATTTTTTAAATATTTCTTTTTAAGAAGAAAGTATAAAAGGGGAAAGAAAGGGCTGGAGGTTGAAAACAAAGACTGGGGTGGGTGAAGGCAAGAATGCAGAAAATAGTGTAGAAGAAGACAGATTGAGAGGGGAAAGAGAAGTAAATGAGTAGAGGAAGAAAGTGGGAATGTGGGAAAAGAGCAAGGAATTGTGCAAGAGGAAAGACAAAACTGCAGCTGGAATACATTAAGTCATCGAAGAGAGCTAGAGACTGACTAGTGGCATATAATGTTATTTTTTTCAGTCACACACAGAAAACTTGTCCTTAGGATGGGGGAAGAAGCAACAATTCAGCTCATAAAGCTTGGGAAGTGCTGGTAACAGGAAAAGCAAGCTCATTTTATCC